GCCGCCACGCAGAGCCCTTGGTCACGCAATGCAAAGTTTTCAGCGTCCTTCTTACCGAAAAAATGGCTTGATATAAAAAGACACCGTTATGACGACATCATAATGGGATTTTATGGCAAGGCATTTGATAATGGTTTGCAGGCCGAGGCGGCAGGTTCCAAGGCTATCTTATTTCCAGCCAATCAGAATTTAGGGCGTTCCGGACTATATCGTTCTAAAGCGCGCTTTTCCATACGCTCGCCCCCTTTCGATCGCTCACCATCACGTTGTTCACATCGCTGGTTTGAACCAATTTTCAGCATTTTCCACCACCTCCCCTTCCGCATGCCTGCCAATTAATTTCTAGTGTGTTTCTCTTTCTTGTCTTAGTGGGTGGCGGTTTCTCCCCCACCTTTGCTGAAGAAATCTTTAGTTTATTATATATTGGCAGATCTTGAAAATAAAGTTCGTCACCTTTGGTGGCCAAATTTTCTCCAACCAAATCCGACTCTGTGTTTATCTCCTCAGCAAACAAGTGCGCCGCCACGCAGAGCCCTTGGTGACGCAATGCAAAGTTTTCAGCGTCCTTCTTACCGAACAAATGGCTTGATATAAAAAATCTTTTAGCGTTTAGCTTTTTGATCAAATTGTTTTTGCTTGGTTTTTTTTATTATTTTTGTTTTTTATAGCATTAATTTTTCTTTCTCTTCTCGTGATCAAAGCATGGTGGAAAGTGGCGTCACAGAAGGCGGAAAAATACTGCCAATTTTCTTCTTCGTACGAAGCCTCAAGCTAAAAACGGTTTTCAAAGTTATCCCAGAAGAGAAACAGCAGCTCGTGCAGGAAAAAAATTCAGATAATATAAGGAAAGTACTTTGTAAATCATTCATTCAGTGGTTTTGAGAACTACATTTGTGTTCTTATAAGTACCGAGTCGACTGGTTTGGTTCTCTCAGCTTATTCTTTTGTTCCTGTTGAAGTGAAAGTCCAGAACACTTAACATAACAAAACACTTAATGTCGACAGGTCCCTCGAGAAACCAACTTCGTCTCGGGAAACATCAGGACTCTGGTGAAAACAAAACTGTTTCCCTCGGCATCTGACATTAAGTTTATATTAAACTCTATTGTATTGTTGATGTGTTCCTAATAAAGCTAGAACACGTCCACGCTACTTGTCGCCATTTGTCCCCCTCTTTTTTTAATGTCAACATGCCTATATTATCTGGCTTTTGTTATTTCATTCTTCCTTCTGTTGGGTTGTTCACAACCTTAGTATAAAACATGATCATGAAAGTAGAGTTTTTGATGCTTATACATTGTTGATAACTGTAACCAGTGGCTGACAGGTAGGTGGCCTGGGTTGGGGAAAAATGTAATTTGATATCTTTTTTTCTCTAAATACAGCGCAGCGACACTTTGGCCCAACGAAAATTCGTTGCGTAGAAGGAAATAACAATGTCGATCCACGCACCAGTCGCTTTATGCTACCCCTTGGCGCCACTGTAAACATGGACGGTTTAGCTCTGTATCGGGACTATCTTCGTGGCTCAGTTAAATGACATCACCGTCAGCCCTGGAAGGGTAGTTGTGGTTTGGTAAGTAGTCTGGCGAGTTGTCGTAACGTGATTTCACCACCTTGAGGTTTGTTTGTCTGTTTTTCTTTTTTGTTTGTTATTCAAAACTTTGAAAAAGAGGACCGCGATTTTGCTATTGCTGTAAATACTAAATGCAATGTTACGAAAAAATTGACAGTCTTAATAAACATTCTGTTTTCTCTAAATCATGCTATGACCACGTTACATCAAACATCACCTCAACGGTTATTTCTATCGGCCCGAGATAATCATAACGGCTTATGTAAAACAGTCATGAAGGAAGGCGTGCGACACTTTAATGTCCACTGATCGAGTTGAAGCAAGTTGGCCCCTATTACACCAGAGCTATTCATGGTATCTGTAACATCTACTCTCTTAGCTGGAGTGCTAGTCAATTGCAAGAATCCCCTTCCCAACAGTTTATCTGGTTTCCTAAAGGTGATGTCACACGAGACAATCCGCAACAACGACTTTTTGCGCAACACAGAGTTGCAACATTGCTACGACTAATTTTTCGAATAGTTCCAACATTGTTCCAACATTGCAACGCTGTGTTGCGCTAAAAATCGTCGTTGCGAATCGTACCGTGCAACATTACCTTAAAAGCTTGATGTCGCTTGATTGTTTGTTAGTTTTCTTTTTAATTTTTTCTTTTGTGATGAGAAAAATTGAGCGCTGTTGCAATAAAGCCAACCTGGATGAACTGGACAGTCTGACGAGCTACCTACTCACAGCCGAACGCGTTTTAAATTCAGGCTATGTCCACACACTTTACCAGACTTCTTTGGCGCGGGCACGAAAACCATACCGTATAGGGCTTCTGTTCACACATAAGAACGGTGACTGCGGGGCTATTTCTATAATTGAGCGAGGCCGCGCCGCGCCGATCTCATAAGAGGAGAGTCCCGAATCAGATAGGTGTTCATTCTAACCGGGACATCTTTTCTTGTCGGCACGAAAATCTATCCAGTATAGACCTTTTTACCGATCGATACGGCAGCCATATTGAATCAATTAGATTTAAGGAGTATTATGGGATACCAAAGGGGCATGAGCACTATCCGATATACTTGCTCAGTATTTATGCGCGCTTTTCGGCCAATTTTTCTTTAAGTTTTCCCATAAGAAAGATTTGCAAGGGAAAAAAAAGATTGTTGTGCCGTGTTTGGATGTAATAATGATTGCCTTTTTTTCGCCTGAAATATACCGTGAAGTTCTCTTTTGGCCCGAAAAGCGGGCGCAAATACTAAGCGAGTACCCCCTGGGCATCCCATAATACTTCTTAAATCTAATAACTCAATATGGCCGCCGTATTGGTAAAAAGGTTGTGTGAACGTAACCTCAGTCTGTCTGCACCTGTTTAAGTATGTATATATCTGATAAGGTCAACATAATGAACAATTTTCGCTGGTCTTTAACACCACAGCTTAATGGCTGTTGCTCTCGCAATTGGCACAGCTGGGATACCTGGCTCTGGTGTCATGACAATAACTGTTCTTCAAGCTGTCAATCTACCATTGCATGATGTGGGACTTATTCTCGCTGTGTATTGGTTCCTGTAAGCAGACACCCGTTCTGATGAATTGAAAACTCTTTGATTTGTTATTGGCTGATAAAAAAAAGGGTCAGACGCACTTCGACTTGAAAAAAAGAAAATGATTTAAATAGCTAGGGAGCGCATGTTTGAAATTGCCATCCATAATAGAGTGTCTTTTAAAACAAGAAGGAAACTGAAAGTTTTTTTAGCGTTAGACAAGTCGACAACACTTGCTGACTGATAAGCTCAATTGTTATTTGGTACACCGAGATCGAGGCAATAAAACAAATATATTTAGCTTAGTTTTAGGTTAATCCGGTTATTTATTATTATTTTTTAACTAAAGGTTGAAGAGGAACATAATTTATAGAACTAATAATTAGTTAATTTTCTCCGGCTTAATAGAAAACGTGCGGCTTATTACTATGAGCTTAATCTCTGAATCTCTGACAACGAAATCAGATTCAGAATTGTAAGTTACACGTAAGATAAATAGCAAACAAAACCAAGCACACCAAACGGGTGAAAAGCAGCAAAAGCAAATAATTTATAAAGATAAGTTACTCCGTCACATTTCGGGTGTACAAACTTATGAAGTATCACAAGGGAACAGAGTTTCTTTTTTTACAGACCTTACTGGGCCTAGTCCGGGTGAATTGACTATTAATACTAGTCGGCAACATTTACGTGTTTACTCAAGATTCATGTGGTAGCGGCAGAAAGACTGTGGGTACTTTGGAAAAGAGCATATAACCTGGGTGATACACGCAGTGACTGAGGGAAACAGGAAATTAAAGTACTGCCACGACCTCGGGCCAATATTCCCTAGCACGTCCCTCGCGCTCGGTTAGTAAGCGGTTAATATCAGATACCGTGTATAGGTATTTGTTGTTGTGAAGGGTATGGTTTTCAAGCAAATTAGTCTGAGATATGGTATGGAAATCGGAGAGTCTGGGTTTAGTATAGGGTATCATTATCAACGACACTGATGAATTGGTCGAAACTCTTAGTCTAGACTGCAAAATTGGGAATTGAGACAAAGAAAATAAAATCGGGAAATATAAATTTACCTCAAGAGAGAATGATCTACTCCCAACTCAGAAAAGAAAGCGTCGACCTCCGGCCGTAACTATTGAAAAATAGTGACTCTAGGATAGGGAGAGATTTGGGGGCTTCAGTCTAGTGTAGGGTAGTAAAATTCAGCAGAACTAGGCCTGTTATAGGCTATGTGTTGCGGGTTTCCATTGGCACATCCCTACCTAAGTATTCCTAAAGTACTTCCCCCCGAGACTCGATCGTCTTTTCATCTGTATTTAGACTAGTATAATGGTGGCCGTTTTGTGTCTCAAAGCACGGCTGCCTGTGAGACTAGCACAATGGAAACGACTACTTTGCAACTAAATTTCACTGGTGAGGTACGAATCTGCCCAGCTTCAGCAGCCTTTACTACACTATACAAAAAGAACAACACTCCCAAGTGTTTTATAAAAAATATATATATTTTACTTTTAGCCTTGGGGTAGTGGTTAGAATATAAAGACGGCCCATTATATACCATTTTACTAGCCGTCAACATATTAAAAGTAGAGAAATTATTAATTAGTATTTCCATCATATACAATGATTGGTATACAGTATACAGTTAGAAGAAAGAAATGGTTTGTATTTGGTCTCATAAATATCATTGCCCTTCTCTTCATTTCAAAAGATTTTTAATATCTAGCCTTAAGAATGAAAATAGTTGGTTGGAAGTCAGCGCAGTAGTATAACCATTCATTTTTTAAGGCAAAATGGCTTTGTTTCTGTTACAGTGCTCAATATACCGGAGGTTCAAAAGAAAAAAATACTTTGCGCCTACTGGCAACTGGCTTTCTAAATCATTAAATACTACACATTTTCGTACAGCTTCTTGTCGTAGTCATTCATGTTGATAAGCCTCTGCGAGAAAAAAGTATGTAAAATGCTCGTTATTTACCCACAAACTAACCCGGCCAACATTACTTGCAAGATAATTGAGTATTGGATGACAAGGAGTTCTATCCCACGCCATTGAGAATACAGCCAAACAACAAACTAGAAATCTGTTCCATATTCTGCCATATGAAAGGGGTCGTATTTCATGAAAAATCCAAGCAATGCTTGCGGCTTCCACATTTTCCCGCCGAATATAGAGCGGATATGATCACTGTAATCGTGTTATGCTAAACGACGAAGGCAACGAAAACGGGAAAACAAAGAGAAAAAAAATGAAAAGGTCAAATTAGCAAAAAAAACAACAACAACAACAACAAAAACCTTGCATGTGTAGCACACTTTTTTGTACATTTCTTTGTCTTTGTTATGCACTACCACAGCTTGAAACGTTCTAGTTACACGTTTTCTGTAGGAAATGTTCTACGTTCTCACCAAAAAAATTTGTTGCTTTTGTTCCTGTTCGCTTTATTATTCACTGCCGCTCATTTTTACAATAATTGTCACCACCGCTTTAAGATTTTCATGTTGTGTTTCTAACGAAATTCGACTTATTTGTTTTTTATCTCTTGCTCTGGCTCCGTCTGTGTTATACACGTCTTAGATATTATAATTTAGCCAAAAAGACTTGGCTTTGTTGTTGTTTTTCTCTCTAAAAGTCCGGGTGGCCAAGATGACCATAACATCGACGTTTATCACCAAGTTAAACACAGGTTGCAGGCTCCACACAAATCAAAACAGTTTTTTTTCACAATGGTTACCCTGTGGTGCGGACGGTCACGTGACCACCAAAATTTCTCGGATGCTTGGATAATGTTATTTCTGACGAATGAGCCCGCGAAGAAGACAGAAATAAATATTTTGACGGCACGAGATACAACAGGGCCTGGGTACTAGGCCGGTTGCACCAGGGGTAGCCATATCGGGGGTATATAAGGCTGCGTATATCACGTGTACGTCATCTAGGCTTACGAACCACCCTCTCTTTGGTTTTTCTTAACGTTCTTATTGGCTCTTTCTTGCGTTATATCCGTCAGCAAAGACGAAGTGTCCGATCTCATTTAGGAGAATAACAAACAGTTAATGGACTCGTTTAAAGATTTGTTAATTGAAACTGTTGGTCAAATCAAGCTTGCTAACGAATATTTGGCCGAGCAGCAGATGAAAGAAATTAAGAAACTAAAGTATAATGAACCACGTAAGTTCAAGAAGAAGGCCAACGAAGACCAGTTTCAAAGGATCCACAGTGCAGAATTTTGCGGCCATGTAGCGTACTAGGCCGGTAAGAAGAAGAAGACCACTCTTTCAACTCTCAACAACAGATCCTCGCCAGTGGGAACGCCGGCGTCCACCTCAAGTTCACAGATGCAACCCCAGCCTCTTATGTCAAACGTTCCTGTTTTTCGCCTTCTCGTCGACCCAGTGTCGGGACCTGTTTTGCCAGTGGAAAGCGTTCCTGTTACCCGACGATGGACAAGCCAAACATGCCAAACTCCTAAATGGCTAGATGAAGGAAAACAATCAGGTGCAGTCTATTCTAATTTAGTACTGAATTTTTTAAGCGGCAAGCCGTTATATGGATCAGGATTGTCTCGATGTTATACCAGTTTCTTCTGACGTTGACCCCGCTAGTTTTAGGCGCGGTTTAGAGCTCTGAGTGTACCGTTGATATTTCTATTCTACCTTCAGTTTGGGGAATATTTTTCATAGTGATCTATTTCTGGCATACTTTGCTAGTTTCTCTGTTCATTTTGAATGTTATTAGTCTTAGTTACATAAGTCCCTTCTTCCAGCTTTTTATGTTTTTTTACTAATCCTACAATGCCTCCGCACGTGTTTACAGTTCTTTTTGTCCGTAGCTGTTAATGAGCTTCCCAGTCTCTACCTCCTTTCAGAAATTTTTTGCATTCCAATATCATTTACCCGCTTTTTGTTTGACCCGCCGCTCCGTCTAACAAAGGTTAATCCTGGATTTTAGGCACGTTTGCACCTTTTTCTACAAACAGAAATTCAAGTGCGAAGACTTGTCCATGGCCACTTAATTTTTTGAGATGGGTTTTTATTTATTTATATTTTATCTCTAGTGCGGTTATCGTAATTTTCCCTGATCACCGGTATTTCCTTGCGTTCACCTGGGATCTCGGCACCTGGATTTTTAGGTATTTTCTACTTTGCGCGTTTCCTTTTGGGTTCTTGTCAGCCTCCCTCAAACCGCTTCAGAAAGCAAGAAGAAGCCAAGGTATCCCTATTGCCATTTTTCTTGACTATGGTCTAGCTATAGGAGGAGGAGCCTATCGCGTTCAGACCAAAATTTGCAGTTTGTGGGCTGTCCATGCCGATTTGCCTTAGTCTCGCTTTGTTCGAATTCCTAATGAGGAAAAGTCCCTGTGGTAGCCCGTTCAAATTTTCTTGTGGCTTCGTGTTCAGAACACTCTCGATGGAAGTATTAGAGCCACGGATGAACGCATTGCTAAATTGTCTCACGACCTGGTGGCTTTGTCTTCGTATTAGTCTTCCACCACAGTCCATGTTCTACGCGTCCCGTGTGTAGCTGGCCAAAGTATTTCCCTTTCGAGTTGCGTTGGATCCGTCGCGTGTATCATGGCCCGATTTCTTTTCTCAGTTGTTTACTCAGGTGTTTTCTGGGATAGCTAGGTTTTCCTGTCCGTTTATTCTTTGTATGAAATTGAATTTTGGTCGAACAATGTTAGCCTCTTAACGGCAAAATTTATTGAGGGGTTCCAGTTCGCTTCCAGTGAGAGTAAGCTCCGGCTTCTCCGATGCTTCCTATTCAGCCTGCGGCGCTTAAGAGGAGCCTGAACCTGAGCTGATTTTTCATCAGAATTGGTCGGAAAGTGTTCGTAGATCGACTTGTAGAGAACTCAAAGCGGTTTTTCTTGCCTTACTAGCCTTCGGGAGCCCTTTACATAATCAGTCCAAGGTTTTTTGGTATTCTGACAACCATAACGTCGAATCCATTCTTCGCGAAGGCAGCAGGAAACGCGACCTCCGGGATTTAGGCCTAGTTGTTTTTCAAATTTGCTCTCATCATTGTATTTCGTTCTAGGTCAAGTGGATCCCTAGAGACCTGAACGCCAGTGCGGACTGTATCTGCAATCTTGTTGACTTCGATGGTTACGGTCTCAACGTTTCCGTTTTTCAAGGGCTAAATCACCTCTTAGGTCCTTACACTATTGACAGGTTCGCCTGTAGCTACAACGGCGAGTTGCCTAGGCTTAACTCTCGATTTTTTCAGCCAGGAGTTAGGACGACAACTGGCTTGGCCTACAGGTTTGCCTCATTGTCAGAGTCATCAGACAAATTGGGCTCTGCCGCGCTCACGGGAACCCTTGTTCCTCCCCTATGGAAGTCAGCTATTTTCTGGAATGTTTTACTAGAGATGGAGTGCATTGGAATAGTTTTGTTGTCGACTGGGTTTTATTGCCTTAGTTCCAGGGGTTATTTGTTCCAGGGAAGGCCCGTAATTCCCTTTTCAGATCCAGGCCTTTATTTTTTGGCGTCATAGCGCTTCGAGTTTATTTTCGGCGCCCCAGACCTTCCTCGTCCCTGGCGGGCTTCTGCTCTACGCCGCCTGACGGAAAGTGTTACCTGTGCCTCTACACGCTTGTTATGCGTACTTTTAGGTTTGGACCCATAAGGTTTTTGACCCCCCTTCCGCCCACTCTCCTCCCACTTCCCTTTTCCAGTGTTTTAAGCTCGTTTTTTTTTTTTTTAATTCTTTTTTATTTCGTGCTCCTCACATTTTCTTCTTGTATTTTCGATTACTTTTCAGATATGTTCCGCTCTGGTTTCTAGCGCGGGCCCTAGAATTTCCCACCAGAGGGTTGAATACTGAGGCTGACAGACAGTCTACAATGCAATCGACGGTTCTCTCCTCAAAGGCCGTTAGTACGACAGTAGTGTACCTTCGTGCTTCTCGCAAGTAAAAATGCTTTGCTGCCAGTAAGCCTCATTCCTGGGCCTGTCCTGCCAGTCCCTGCCATGTTGCCTTGTATTTGCAACACCTCATTGAAGAGTCGCACTCCCCGTGCGTCTTAGCCTCGGCTGTTTACGGTAGTAAATGGGCTCATACCATGGCGGGTATCCCCTCTCCCACGGATAACCCGATTATTGAAGGGGTGAGGTGTGCTCCCAAAAGGATTTTTCGTTTGATGAGGTCTCCATAACTAGGGGGAATTATATTTTCATGAGGGTTTCATGATCATTAAGGTTCTCCAAAGCAAGAACGACCAACTTTGTAAGGGCGATGAATCGGAGTGATTTTTTCGGAAATGTTTGGCCTGCTCGTACCTTGCCCATTTTTCCATCCCTCTAGCTCCAGGAATCTCATTTTTAGGCCCATGTCTCGCGGGAACAGCTCCTTTAAGTTAGTTTCCCAGGACGAGCCTATCAGCTATACCACAATTTGAGAGGCTTTTCGCAAGGACCTGAGAAGTTTCGGGGTTGACCCTTCCACGTTTGGTTTTTTATTCCTTGCGTTCGAGAGGGGCCACTTCCGCTGCTTATAATGTGGTTAGTGACTGTGTTTCAGTGGCTCGGCCGCTGGAAGTCCGTTCTAGCCAAGGACGTCTACCGATGATGACCTAGAAAAAAGGCTTTCAGTTTCTTGGGCTCTAGGAGCTTTCATTTGTCATTTCGCCCAATACTTTGTCACTCTACGTACTTCGTAGGGTTGGTTCTCGCCAAGTCGTCCCAAAATAAACTTATTTGCCATTACGTTTGGTCTGTTGATGTTGTGTAGTGGAGTCAAAATATGTTATTTCTGACGAATGAGCCCGCGAAGAAGACAGAAATAAATATTATGACGGCACGAGATACAACAGGGCCTGGGTACTAGGCCGGGTGCACCATGGGTAGCCATATCGGGGGTATATAAGGTGGGTGTATCACGTGTACGTCATCTAGGCTTACGAACCACCCCCTCTTTGGTTTTTCTTTATTTTTGTTTTATTTATTTTTAGGAGCAACATATTCTCGATGACATCGTAAAGTCCCGTAGGAAGGGCTTTGAGCTTGAGCCTTGGTTCCTACCCAGATTTCCTGCCCGCATTTTTTCCCTTAGGGGTTTTTTTGGGCAGGTTTTTTCTGGCCTCCGTCTGACCGCATTTACTTCAGTTTGTAAGCGGTAGCTCAGCTCTGCTAGTTTTCAGTTTTTTCCCGTTTCTTATTTTATGTGCTTGTACAGTTATCTCAGTTTTGCATCTGCTCCTTTACTTGATATATTTAGTTTCTATGTATGTCTAGGTCAGCAGTCCCGGAACCGCTCTTTAGGAGGCGACATAAGTCTCGTTTGATGCAGTTAGGTTGCAGGCAATGTTACAGACTTCTAGCCAGCGTCGTTACCCATTTGTTTACTTTCAATGTCCTGCCCTGGCCTTTTGTGGCAGCCTTACTGGTTATTGGGCTACGTGCCTTGTTGGGTACATTAATGGAGATAATTCCCAGTTTTCCTGGCACTCAGCCTCTGTGCTCCTGAAGTGTTCCCGGTCCCAGTTATCCGTTGATCAGAGTTTTATTAAATTTCCCCAGCCTAACTGGCAGCCTAACTGGCAGCCTAACTGGCACTAAGCCTGCGTGCTTCTTTGGGGGACTCAGGTCGAGATCGACCAGTTGTAGCAGATCTCTCTTTTGCTTAGCCTCTGTGCTCCTGCCGTGTTCCCTGTGCCAGTTATGCGTTGTCAGAGTTTTATTAATTAGTTTCCCCAGCCTAACTGGCACTAAGCCTGCGTGCTTATTTGGGGGATTTAGGTCGAGATCGACCAGTTATAGCAGTTTTTCTTTTTGCTTAGCCTCTGTGCTCCTACCGTGTTCCCTGTGCCAGCTATTTGTTGTCAGAGTTTTGTTAAGTAGTTTCCCTAGAATTACTGGCAGCCTAACTGGCACTAAGCCTGCGTGCTTAACTGGGTGATTCAGGTCAAGAGCGACCATTTGTAGCACGAGTTTTTTCTTTTTGTGAAAGCTAGTTTACGAGTGTTGTACATTAGGTATTCACCAGTAATCACCTATTATTGTATTTACATAAGTACTTCGTAGGGTTGGTTCTCGCCAAGCCGTCCCAAAATAGACTTATTTGCCATTACGTTTTGTCTGTTGATGTTGTGTAGTGGAGTCAAAATCTCAAATTTTCTTACCCATGGCTCTCCACTGGAGAGCTCCGCTATACGAGTTTTAACTAGCATTCAGACTTTTTAGAAGTCAAAGTTAAAATACTAATACAAAAAGAATTCAAACGGAAAATGTAACGGACAAACAAGTTTGGGAACTTTCTAACCGAGAGCGACACAAACAAACTAGTTTACCATAACGTTGCGAAGACCGATATGGATACACACCTGCACTTCGAAACATGAAGCCTAACTTAAATCGCGTCATGAACATTCGACATCTGTCTTGATATTTTCTTCAGGATGCAGGTAAAGTAGACAGTGGAATACGAACTTTATTCATTGACACGCTATTGATCATTTGGACATTGTTATGGACAGACTACATTTGGGACAAACCTCGATTTTCCTCTGCGAGGGACCTAACTGAAAATTTGTTTGATAATGTACATTTAGCCTCATTCGGGAGAAACATCATCACCAGCTGGCTAAATTTGCGTTTTGGTCTGATTCAGATGATTGGCTTGACCCGTCCTACAAAGGTCGACGTCTGACCCAACAGAAGATCTTAAATTAGTTTAGGTTGACCCAAATTAGAGTTTGGTTCGTCTCATGAAACTTTCGACGTTTGGCCTAGGGCTAAGAAACATCAAGTCACCCGTGGGGTATTTTATGATTGAGGCATTTATAACTAGTATTAATTTCCCACACTTGCGTGTAATATCATCGTGACATGAAAGGTACATATATTTTAGAACATCCCTGCATATCTCGAAGTTACCATCGAAAGCAAATAGACTGTTGTGGGCCCTCAAAAAAGATGATTAGGTATCAAAACATTTGACTAAACACAATACAAGCCAAGGTCCTAAGGTACGAAGGCACAAATTTCTCTTTTCCCTGAACTGTGCCTTTTTTTGCGATGATGTTGCTTATACCTTGTGTTGATTTTCCATTTTCTTTAGTTCACTTCCCAGCAATTCGAAGGTTGGACGATTATCGGGATTGTCTTGCCAGCAACTGAGCATAATCTGGTATCTGAAGATAAATATTAAAGCATTAGTACAGTCCATAACCTAAACGAGTCAAAGAAATCCACCTGCTGCTAACGAAAGCTTTTTAGCCATTTTGTCCTAAATTGATTCCGTGCTACTGCTCTTGAAGCCAAGACTGGAGAGAAATAGACCTTTTGCATTAGCTGATCGAGTGATCAACTTTCAGTAAATACGAAAACAGTTCGTTTTCGAGAAATTTTGTTAGCACGAGCTGAAAGAGCATAAAAAATTAGGAAACCTGTTATATTTTAGTCCCACATCTCAAAAGTAGCGATTGCAGCTGCCGCCGAAAATTAGAAGGATTTGTATGAGAAAATAAACTTTCGCCACTCCTTGTAAACTCTGAAATTTTTAAACTGTCGTTAAATCTTTCCGTTACGCATTTAAGGTCTCAAATTTCCTGTTACATATGTGACCCTCCACAGGATTTTAATGCTAAAGGTGAAAGCACGCGCACGACACGCTTTCACTTTAAAACAAAAGAATTTATTTTAACACGCTTTAGCACGCTTACAATCTTGCCTTATTAGCAATTTCTTTTGTTTCAGAGGACACGCTTGAGACAATTAAGCGTGAGCAAGTCGAACAAAAGAGCGTGTTAAAGTTTTCAAACAAAAGCTCCGTGCGAAAAAGCACAACACGCTTTCAGTGTGCGCAAAAGCACGCAAGGCGTGTTATCTATAAGCTAAATAAATTTCCTCTACAAAAAGGAACCGTAAATGATTATGAACGGCACCCTTTTTTGGTAACTATCGAGAAAGAAAAAGTTATACCTCAGCGATCGCAGCGATAGTATCTGATTGAAAAAACGTTGTCGCTTGAAAAGTATAACCAGTGAACGGTGTGACCTACTGGATTTATGGGTAGAACTATATTAGCATTGCAAAATCAAAGTTCTTTCCAGAAATGTTTACTGACGAAGCTGTGCAAAGGTTATCTTAACTTTCCTTAATTGAAAACACATTTGCAATTTTCTCAGAAACAGTGATCTTTCGGACTTGACACTTTCTTGCCGATCGCAGCAATCGCGATCAAATATAATAGAAATCATCAAGTGCCATTGTATTTATTTCTTAGCGATTGCAAGGATCGTAGTGATCAAATGAAAACCAGCCTGCTTTTCTAGATGTACCAAAATTCCAAAATGTTTCCAACGTTGCTTAATTGATCCGGCCGACAATAACACAAAAAGCGAAACATCAGTTAATTAATGACTGTTTGACCGCTTTTTGAATAGTAAGCAAAAAATGTATTTTTTAACAGAATTCAGAAATTGTATGGTGCTTTTTTGTTTGATTCTTTGTTTTTGCCACGATAATACGGCGTGTTTAGAGTACTATATAAAGTTCGATCCGAGAATTAAATCTCTGTCAGTCACACACTGAGAAAAGAGAAAAAGAACTAAATTAAAAGTAGTCCGCGTGAAATTCTTGAAGGCAATCATTTGCTCCATAAAGTTCGGTCATTGAATTAATTCATCGAGCTCGATCTAAAGGGGTGACGGTCAAGCTACTCGAAAGTGATGTCGTTTGAAGTTATGTCGTCCAAAACCTGATAATATGAGTTTTGTCGCCCAAAATTCAAAGAAAAGTCGCCCGCAATTCTCCCTCATTCTACAGTGTTTTTAGCTTACAGATTCTTGTTTTTTTCGTCCTGTGAAGAACGAGATATAGTACACGTTTACAGCGCTTGATTCGTCTTAGCATAGCGCTTCGTTCGTCAGGGGCACCTGACGGCGATTTCCTCCTAAATGCATCTTAGCATCCTAGGACAACCTCAGTCTTTTCGAAATTACAAGGGCTTCAGCATTATTTTCCCGAAAAATTTAGCTTCCAATTGAAAGTTTTAGGAAAGTGAGAATTTTATCGTATTTTCGGTTCCGAAAATTTTAGGATTCTTTAATTCTCTACGAAAAATAGCTTAACTGGGGAATGAAATGGAAAAAATTAAACTTCAGAAAATCGTAAGGAATTTATTAGATAACCTTCGAAAATTGTACATGCATGGAACGGTCATCTAGAAATGTTTAGCCTTCCTCAACCTATGGAAAATTCTAGGCAGTTTTTGTTTCTCCGATTTAATTACCTTCGTTCGTCTCAGCATGGCTTAAAGAAATATATTAAACTAATTTATTCAACTTCATTTCTCTGTGCATTACTGCTAATAAATATTCCGGTGGCATAACTATAATTTTCAGGCGACATAACTTCAGTGCCTCGCATGCGATAGCAGGCCTCTTTGCGATTCCGGTCATTAGCCGACAGCCGGAGGAATTGGTTTACACTGATCTCGCATTAATTCCAGGCTAGACCACAATTAAGTCGTGATTTTCAAATGGCCACGGTTACTATCAAATTCCAAAACAGTCTCAACTGGTATATTTGATTCACTTCGACCAGTTATCAATGCTGATTAAATCCGCTGAAAACCCAAGCCATTTTTATCATCTTAGCGGTTTTAGTAATCAAGCGTGTTCAGCGTGTCTTACCCAAATTGCACGCTAACCGTGCTATAATTCGCGCACTTACCGTGACATATGGCACGCTACAAAAAAACAAAAGGTCTAGCGTGTTAAATTTGCCAAAACAAAGGCAAGTGTGTCCGTCTTTGTTTTTTCAATTTAATATGCGCATATCCGTGATCTACGGCACGCTAAGCGTGTCGTGCAAGCGTGTCGTGCGCGTGCTTTCACCTTTAGCATCAAATTCCTGTGGAGGGTCACATATTAAAATGAGA